AGACGCCGCCCACTGCAAAAGCAGCAAGCACAGTCACATCGAAGGCTGCAAGCTCCGGTCGCCCGGATGCCTCCTGGAGTTGGAATCGTGATCACTATGGTGCACGCCGAGAATGGAGTTTCTGGCGTGGGGCTTGGTATTACCGTGACGAGGCCGGCGGCCGTTGGATCTATTGGAACCGCAGGTAGACGATGATTTTCTTTTGTAGCATAGCGCAAGATGCGGCATGGTAATGTGCCTTCCTTGCAACGCTGCGCTGGGTTTTACGGGCTTGAGCTTTTTAAGGGACCTTTGAAAGACTGCATAAAATGATCTAAAACCAAATAAAGAAATTTGGCTACCCGCGAGGGTATGCTCTTCTGGGTTATTCGTTCTCCGCAGTCGTCCCTGCTCGCCCGAGGGGGGTGTAAAAACTCCTGCAGTAAAACCATGTATAATATATGTCATCGATCTACTCTGAAGCGTTGGTTCAAAACAGTGCTGACCGCTTAACGGTTTGTTGTATTTATCCCCATTTCCGGTTGACCTGGTAAAATACAATATCATATATTTAAGAATGTATTCGAATGGGCATTGAACATGCATTTTTCAACCAACCATCAGAAAGGTGGGATTTTAAACTATCAAAGAGACGGATGATATCATCGAATGTCGGGGGGTTCTGTCATCAAACATGGGGGTTAGACCATGGGGTAGACACATGGAAAATGGTGGTTTCACTCAACAAATTGGGTAAGGGATGGGAACATTGGGAGCGGGATGGATCATGGAATGAGTTTTGGGTGCCATGGGGTACGGTGTATTCCCATAATTTCCCATATATACCACATTTTTACCAATGAAAGGCTGAAGAATATGAAAGTTCGATGCGGAGATGCGAATCATATTTTGGAACGACCCCATGAACTGGATAGTGGAGAACTGATATCAGGAAAAATTGAAGGCAAAAACAGTTGATGAAAACTACAGAAACAGTTGATGAAGGCAATGCAGAAAAAAAAACAGTTGAACGGCTTGAGCTTGAGCGCTTTCCGCGGAGTTCCCCTTGCCCTTTGAATTTCCATGCCAGGATCCGAAACTACCACCAGGTTTCCTGAAAATTGGATACTTCGCTGCAAGATTGGCCATTTTGACAAATTTTGACAAATCAACTTAGATGCAATGTTTTGATTTGCTTACGCTTCTACTCCTCCACTACCTAGGATGGGTTGGAGGTATTCGCGACGGACTGAATGAAGCAAAACATTGAGTTTGAAGAACCGACACGGAGCACAGAATTGGTTTCAGCTGAACTGACACCTGGACACCCCACCATGCGCTTCAACTTTTTTTAGGTTGCAAGTGGCGAAGCGGAGTGATGGTAAGGAACTCAGTGCCCAGCGGCACTTGTTGCACCATTTGTTTTCAAAGGAATGCCATGGAGGCTCAAGGTGTTTTCCATAGGACCATTGCAGTAGCCTCAACATCCCTCGAAGTTGCCTGCAGGCCCAAGATGGGTGTATCTACTGCGTGCCTGATTGTGCCAATGAGGCCCCGAGAGGATCGTTTGCATCACATAGTAATAGACTCTGTGGTAGAACTTGACATAACTCTCTCTGAAGTTTTGAGGAGTTTTATGTCAAAAACATAACTCATACACAACTCATAGTACCACTCATAGTACCTGTACTTTTCCAGATTTGTTCACTCGTTCACTCGTCAGGTACTTTGTATTCGTCCAGATGCCCAGGCTCGCCGGGCCTCGCAGGGTTCAAGGAGTTCAAGGCTCACAGATTCTGTTGACTTTGCTGGGTTGGCCCATGTTGGCCCTCATCATCCCATATATTCCCATCATGCTATATCATGCTATATCATGCTATATCATGCTATATCATGCTATATCATGCTTGTCAGGACGTGATTTGCTTCGGTGAGGCTTGGAGTCTATACTGGAAGATCCAGTCATGTTTCAGTGGCTCAACAGCTTGTTCAACTCTAGAAATGAAGTGTTGGTTTCACCTTGACTTCAGAATTTCAACTGTCAGCACGGAGCCTTGCTCCCGTGCTAGGTGGGTTCGGCTCGATGGAAGTGGCGTGGGGGTGTTCTAGCCTGGTTGCTCAGCGGGACTGAAACCCTTTGGCACCTGCCGGTGTGGGAAATCTCGAAGCAGACAATTGTTCAAAGGTCATATTGTGTTCATCTTTGCATCGCTTTGTGTAAAAAGTCTTTCCAGAAATGACAGGCAACAGATGGCAAGATCTACTGCGCGCCAACTGGGCTCGTGTTACCACTCCACGAGCCACCGAGCCACCGTGCCCCGTGCCAGGCCATACGAGTCGCACGAGGTGACGCTGTCCATTGACCCTGCAAAGCTCGGGGTGGTGGCCATGGCACCCTTCGATGGCAAGGCCGCCATCCAAAGTCAGACCGGATTCACATCCGAAGAGATTTGAAGATGGATAAAGATCATAAAGATCATAAAGATCATGCATGGTGCATGTGGTCATGTGATCCGACTGTGATCCATTTCAAACACCCTGCAGGGACTTCAACTGCCTGGCTTCGTTGAATCCAGTCAAGGCCGGGGGCCCATCAGTGCGAAGCCATGGCCATGGCTGCAGATGCTTTGTGACGCCGTGTCCATGTCAGGAGAAGTTCTGGCAGTGCCACTCTGTTAACAAAATTCGCGGAGCCGCAGCCAACAGATCCATGTCATGGAGCTCGACTTATGAAAGACGGGATGTTGCAGGTCTTGTCCTTTGAACGTCCTTTGGCTTGATGCCCTGGGATGTACCGCGATGTTTTGGATCAAGGATCAAATGAATCACACATGTAGGGCTGGTTTAAAATTGACAAACATCATTTCATGGCTAAAGATTGGCTCATTGGCAAAAACACCACTAACCTTGGGCTGAAACTTGTCGCAAGAAATTTCAAAGTCCGGTGGAAGGTCCTGTAAGGTGTGGACCTGTGCGGTGTGTGGGTTTTAGCGCTGAGTTGGAGTCTCAGATTGTCTCAGGGACAGCGCTAGAGGTATGATTGAGCAGCAGATGGATTGGTCCAAAATGATGGATGACAATGGATGACACTGATGATACCTCAGATGAGAATACTTTGGATGTCGACAGCCCGATTAGTGGAGCTACTATGAGCAGCTGAAGCAGATTCTGCATAGCTCTGCTAATTCTGCACGTTCGAGGTCAGACGACGTGACACCTTTTGAGGCAATGGCCGAGGTGATGGCGCCGAAGCTGCCCATTCAGAACCGCTCCACCATCTCTCCACGCTGCAAGTCGCCGGGGGCTCGGCAAATTCGCGCGGATAATGTGTATGCAGGTGTCATGTATCATGATGTATCATGATGTATCATGTTTGATGTGTCTAAGTGTCTAGTATGTTTCGGTCAACATCACTTTGGTGATTGTGGAAGAGTTTCGAGGGGTTTGGTTAAGCCATGTTGAGTGTATCGCCTGTATTTTTAGAACCTCAACATTTTTTCAACATCTATCGTTTTCCGATTCGACGATGTTTGCCAAGTCCAGGTCAAGCATCCTCCGTTTGGATCTTCTTTTTTTACGACCGTGCCCCTTAAGTGAGGTCTCCAATTGGCCCAAGGCGACACGATAGAAGACAGGCCCCCATGGACTTATTCCCATCGATAGAGATACCATGAGATACCAAGAGATACCCGATAGTGAGATTCTATTCTGATCGATGTTCACAGTTTTATTCCGTTTCACTCAGAGTTTTTCTTATGAGGCTATGCGTGTTGTTGCTGTTGCTGTCCAAATCGTTTGACACTTTGCAGATGGACATGACATCACTCAGCAATCTCGCTGAACCGTTTCATATGGTTGTAGTGCAGCTGCGACGTCAGACAAGATGGGCAGATTATACGCCCACGTGTGGTGCGTGGCATGAAGCTCATTCCCCTTGGCCCGAAGGTCTGGCATGGCGTGGCATGGTGTGGAATCGGGATTGAGATTTGGGTGTAGGTCCCGTATAGGTCCCGTAGGTCCAGGTCATCAAGTTCCACACTGGTCTCCTAACAGTGCTATTGAAGTTTGGCTCAGAGAGAATTTTCTGATCCCGAGAGATTCGAGAGATTCGAGAGATTCGAGACGGCAGGAACGACGTATGCGGGCATCAGTTCCATGTTCCTCCAGACTCCTCCAGGCGCAGCAATATGCAGCAATGGCGCGCAAATCCCTGACATTCCACAAGTGATGTGAACATGTGAACATGTGCATGCATATGCGCACGTATATTTGCACGCAAATGACGTCAGAATGGTTCAGAGAATTGATATCTCTTCTGTGAATAAACATGAGGACATCATAGGACATCCTGAACTATCATGCGGTAGTTTACATGATAATTATAGCGTACACAAACACTGACCTCAGATGCGCCTCACCACCTGTTGGCGTTGCTTTCTATGCCACTTCACTCCAGACCTTCAGCAGTTGAGTGAAAACACACACCGAACAACAACACTTTTGGCTTGGCGCTTGGGCAAGGTCATCTCGAGACTAGCGACGAGAGAGCTGCTTTTCTCAAGCCATGGTTTAGTCCACCATCCCATCCATCCCATCCATCCCATCCATCCCATCCATCCCATCCATCCCATAGCCTCATGGAGATTTTTGGACCTTGGAGATTCGGTTTCCTTAGGAAACCTGTGGAGATTGAGGTCCAAATTCGTTTGAATTCCGCCGCCCTTGTTGACTGAGCTCCAAATTCATTAAATGCAGATCCGAGGCTCAGCTGTGGCCGGCCACACCAACACCATCTGGAGGCAGGATCCCCAAGGATCCCCAAGGATCCCCAAGGATCCCCCTGCATTCGATGCTCTTTTTTGATCGGTACGTGTCCAAAGAGTTCTCTTCAGAAATTGCTACTTTTCACGAAATCGGTCTCGGAAGCTTCAGATTTCACTGAGTTGCAAGGGGTGAAAAAATGTGAATGCATTTCCCCAGCTTTTAAATTTTCCTCTCTGCAGGCATTTTTTTGTGCCATGGGTGAAATGACTTGTCGGTTTCACTGACGCCATGTCGCGGCTGGCGGCCATCACTTCCTTCGGAGACTTCGGGACTGAGGTCCATGCAGAGGATGTCTCTTCATTGGGAGATTTTCTGCCAAAAGTGAAGATGACGGATATGACGGCACTTTCTGCTGGACTTCATAGATTTCACAGTGCCAGTGACTACGCTTCGTTCTTCCAATGTGATCGTTCACATGGTCATGGTCTCAATGGTCTCAATGGTCTCAATGGTCTCAATGGTCTCAATGGTCTCAATGGTCTCAATGGTCTCAATGGTCTCAATGGTCCCGGTAGACACCTCACCGGCTTCACAGATGCCACGGAGAACCCCACAGAGAAAATCCTGCAAATGAATAGCAAAGTCATCAACATCACGGGTCGCCTGGGCGAAAAGCAACTGAAGGACGGGTGCGTTTGGACTCTCCTCCCGCCATCCTCCCTGTTCCCGTCATCAGCAGAAGATGCGCACCAAAACAACACACCATGGTAGTGAAGACCGGATGCTAGGGGATAATTCGCAGATAACAGGGCTTTGAGAAGGAACAAGTGCCTGAGTCAAGTTGGATCAACTTGAAGACTTTCTTGAGCAACATTTTGACAAATTTAGACGGATGGAAGAACACAGTCACATGATGTCACATGGCCCTCTGAACAAGCCAGATCCAAGAACATAGTCACCGGGCCCCACAAAGCCCCACAAACCCTGGTTTCATGTTGGCATCATACCTTGACTTCATACCTTGACTACATACCTGGGCGTCATCATCCAGCCCTTGAGCAGGACCCGGCCACAGACTCGACTGAGTGGGAGGTGAATCAGAAGCTCTGTGAAGAGGACAAGTTGACAAAATACATCAAAATACGTTAAATGTATTTCAATTTGTTGAATTCTGAAAACATATATGGACGTTTGAAGTAGAGGGTCACAATCATGAACTTGTTTTTGCGGAATGTTTTTTTTTGAAGACTTTTAGACTTTAGATATTAATATTAACTACATCACAATTCTTCAGTACTGGCAAACAAAATGGTTGATTTTGTGACGGTGGGATGTGATTGATGACTTGCGGCTTCACATGGCTTTACATGGCTTTACATGGCCATGGCTTCGCCCTGAGGATCAGTGTAAACAAAGTCGAGCTCATGTGACTGTGAAAGAGTGTGTAAAAATGGAGAAACCCAAAGGAGACCACGGTCTGCCACCGCTGCCGGAGGGTCATTGGCGGGATGGAGGAAAGGAATGTCGTTACATCCAGATGCCTCTGGCTCTGATCCTCTCGGATCACGGGCGCTGTTTATCGGCCGCCAGTTCTGCCAACTCCATCTCCGAGGAATGCTCCGTCTCCGACTGTGGAGATGCCAAGGGCTGCAATCAGTGTTGGCTCCTGCAGCGCGCCACCGAGAACAACGTCTTCACGGGGTGGAAGCTGAAAACGGCCTGTGGTTTGACCAAAAAAGGTGTGGAAAATGGGCAGTTTTTGACGCAGGATGCGGATGGCACCTTGAAGTTCACGGATGAATATGACACCCAGCAGGATCGGCAAATCTGGAATTTGACGGAAGCCGAAACCAAACAGATGGACCCAGAGGAGTTGAATACCGAGATTTTCAAGAAACCCTTCATGCTGGAAACTTAAGACATCCTTTGGCATATTTTCTTGCTGTATTCTTGAGATGTTGATATTGAACCGTATTAATCGTATTAGATGTTTTGCGCATGATTGAAATAATATAGATATAGTGTGTATTTTTGTATTACTTCCCGCAGAAGCCAGGTCAAGTATAGGATCATAGGTTTTCTTGTCCTTTCCAAATGTCCAGGTGCAAGTACTATTTTAGTCTTGCGGTGTCGAGTCTAAGGAAAATTTGGCATCGAAGCGGTTCCTTTTGCAAGAGAAACCTCAACTGGATGATGATGCTGCAAAGACAGATCCGCTCAATCAGGACATGGCGAACCTACCCGACAAGGCGCTTCAGAACAAATATGATATATGTACACAAGCCGATCCATGGAGAACTGGGAGTCTTCCAAATAGTAACTGGGAGTCTTATAGATCAATCCAAAACCATTCAAACATGTCAGTGAACCCAAAACCAGTTCATATCTCAAGTTCAGCAACCTCATGCCAACCCACATTGGAGGCATATGGCATATATCATTTACAATAAATTCGTTCTCAAACATTCCCACCTTTGAAGATCATTTCGTTACATTTCATTCATCTCTCAAGATCATCGACTCCAAATTGAATTGCGCAGATCCTCAATTTCAAAGTAGACTATAAATTCGGTGGGTCATCTCTAAAAATGCTTGGTCCACCTCAAATTAGATTCTTTCAATTTTTTTAACAAAGAAAGCAGCATCCGGAAACACAGACACGATCGCAATGTTGCTTTTCCGTGCAGCGAACTTTGGTGCAAATGGTTCCAGAATTGCGCTAATTGGTGCACATGACCTGGCACAAGCAGATCACACGAAACAAGTTTGTAACAACTGATTTTCAAATTGCCCATTGGATATGTGACAATGTTGTATTCAGGCAGGCTGTGACACGGGCTGACATTTTTTCTCCGCGCTTGGAACTCCAAGATGTTTGCACAAGGTGTGGATCCACACATGTGCCCCCTGAAATTGATCTAAGATAGATCTAAACCAAGGTGCCTATGGCCAAACGTAACTAATGGCCACAGGCTCCCCGGCGTCCCGGTGCTGCTGCAAACGGTCAGCTTTGGCGACGTTGCCGAGATCAGCCCACTTGCTATTCTCACCAGGCAACAACTTTTTTCCCCTTTTCCAGCCGCAAGAGTAAGCCTCAAGGCAGCACGGTTTGGTAGTTCAAAAAAGTAAATGAATAGTTTCCATGACTTGATGGTATCCTGCAAAAAAAAATGAAAATTTATGAAATTCTTTTCCACGTTTACATGGTATCGATGAGTAAGTTGAAGACACTGTGCAGGTTCTTTTCAAGCTCTTCCAAAGTCATCGGGGCCTGCAAAGCCATTCCTGTTGCTTAGTGTCCGTTCTTCGAAATTCCAATTGAACAACAAATTTTCTCTGAGGGCTCAGGCCTTCTTCTTTGCATCTTTTTTTTTAGCCTTGGCCTTGCTGGAAGTCTTTGCCTTGGGCACGTTGGGTGACGCCTTCTTCTTGCTCGAAGCCTTCGCTTTCGCTTTGGCTTTTGTTGCCTTGCTTTTGGCCTTCGCGACAGCCTTCGGGGCAGGCTTCTTTGACTTTGACTTTGGTTCTTTCAGTTCTGCTTCTACCTCTGCCTTGTTCCAATCAGAATTGTGGCAAGGTTTACAAACTTACCACAACAAAAACCGGAAAATAAGCTTTCACCCACAGAATCAAGTAAAGCCAGCAAATGTTAAGTCATCATTCCATCACTACCACTCTCATGTTCATCATCACCATCACCATCATCATCAGCATCCCCATCATCATCCCCATCATCATCACCATCATCATCATCATCATCAGCATCAGCATCAGCATCATCATCATCACCATCACCTTCACCGCACCATCATCATCATCACCATCATCATCAGCATCATCATCAATGGCACTGTCACCACCATCATAAGAAGCATGAATTTTCCCTGCCTCCTTCTCCAGGTTACTCAAAGGTGTCGGGATGGGCCGTGGCTTTGCATCATCCAACGCTGGCTTCCCCTCATCTTGGCTGGCTTCCTCACCTACCTCTCCCAAGACAACAGTAGTGGTGTCAGACATCGGGGTCATGGGGTCCTTCTTGTTGCCAGGCATCAGGATCACACCATCCTCGTTGTCATCATGTCGGTCAGGGACTTCTTGGCGCTCGGGGGTGTCAACATGCTCTGCCATAGACGACTCACGGTCAAGGTCTGTGTCATTCTCATACCCATCCTCCTTCACACTGTCACCCGATCCCGTTCGCATTGTCAAAGCCTTAAACTCTGATGCGAGAGGGCCATCACCTTTCTCAGCTTGGGCAACAAGCTCTGCCCACATCGACGTATCTTCCCGGTTGTAGAAAGCGTTAAGCCTCTTCAACCTCTTGGGGGAAGATGCCTGTGATTCTGGTGGGCAAACCAAATCAGCAGGTGCTGGGCCATCTTCAGCCGTTGCATCAGGGGCATTAGACTCCTGCATGGGTGCTTGTATCACTATCGACATCAAATTTAAAAAAACCCACCAGTAAGAACATTTTTCCTCACAAGAAACATGTGCCAATTTCATGTTTTTCTGATTCTGTTATTTTGATTTTCTTGCTTGTCATGTATTCGGTCGTTTTCATGCCTGTTCAGTCTAATAATATTAATTTGCCACTTCAAAAAATTGTGCTATCGGTCCTCTTTGTTGCGCTTCTTCTGACGGGTGCCTGAACTCTTCGCAGCAGCAGCAGCCGGTTTCTTCTGGTGCTTGGTGGCGCTACCTTTGGGTCGTCCAGCTGGGCGCTTCTTTGGTTCTTCACCTCCTCCCTCACCCTCTGGATCCGTCTCCTCATGGGAAGCTGGGCGTTCCCGACCCTCTGACTCGCTTTCCTCCTCCCTCTTCTTCGACTTCTTCTTCTCCTCTGACTTCTTTGCGCTGGGACGTTTCATAGGTTGGGTCCCCTCTCCATCGGAAACTTTCTTTTCATCCGATGATGAAGTTGACTGGTTGAAGTTCGGCGGCAAGCCTGCCAAAAAAATGTAAAAGGCAGAAAAGTAAATCACTGATTTCAAGTTTGTAAAAGGAAGGTTGAGAGCGTAAGGAGGGACAGATCATGCGCATTTCACATAATCCTTCATACAAAGTCATGTCTAGCTTATGATATTTGAATCCCCCACCTTCACCAGGTTCTTGTGCAGGGACGTGCGTTGGTCGTGAAGCTTCTGCTGCTGACTTTGCACTTGCCTGCGCTGTTGCCATTGACTTTGCTCTCGTAGCCAGGGTCCGTGGACGGGTATCAGCCTTTGACTTTGCTTTTGTAGCCGGGGCCGTTGGACAGGTATCACCATCAGACGCTCCACCCCCAGCATCATCATCAGCAACCAGGCTTTGCAAGTTGAATGCCTAAGAAAACAGAAAAAAAACACGCTTGCCACAAATACCATTCAAAACGGGCTTTTCAGCAGCTAAGCATGAAGTATGACATTAGAAGCAAAGTCTCTACTTGCTGGAAGATGCGTATCAAGTAAATCTTGAAAGGGAATGCTAGCTGACAACTAAGACCATCACTGGGATGGATGCTCGGGCTGCTGTTGCTGCGCCTCTCATGCCCGTGATTTCCACCTCCTCTTCAGACTCGGAGGCCATGTGCTTTCACCTAAATCTGATCTAGGATAGGCAATTGGCTCCAAAAGCCTGTGTTTCCTGTGGGCCTGAAAGCGGTTCAAGTAAGCAAGCAATAAAAAGTGCCATGAAAAGGGTTCTGCATTTCAACTACATGGTATCAGAAAACATTCGACAATGAAGCAAACGGTTTGGGTGTGACAGCGTTTCTCTTTTGCCTGTGGTGTCCTTTCTTCAGTATTGGTGCATGCGAAGCCAAGCGTTTTGAAGGAAACATAAAATGATCCGTGTATGAATCTTTGAACATCTTACTCAACAACTCCCCAAGCAAAACGCTCTCCGCGCAGATGCACACCGAGCGGGCGCCGGTATCCGAAGCAACCCAAAGCGACATCAAAGAAAGGTTTCAGATACTTAGTTCAGTGAGACTAGTCTGATTTTGTTGCCAAAATGGCATTTGGTTTTGAATTGAAAATATGTCATTCTATTTTTTTACCAGTTGCTGTTTACCAATTGCATGGAGCCACTTCGTCGAGCTGATCCCACTTCGAGCTGGTCTAATCGGATCGGCTTCCATCGGCTTCCCAAGCAGCCAAAAGGAGAAAGCTACATGATTTGCACAATCTCACTTGGCTCGAGTTCCAACTGTCCATTGAGGATGCACACAGGTCGTTGCGGGATTAGCTTGGCTGCACCTCCTGCGCATTCAAGCCTAGCAGAAGGTAGAAAGCCACAAATCGACACTCATGATATGCCAAGCAGCGCCACCATATGAAACTATAATCTAAAATGAAATGCGTTTATATCTGCCATGTTTTCACCCAAGATTGAAAATCTTCACTCCAAGCAAACAGAAAAAAATCACCAGCCTCACACGCCATGAAATCTTCAAAGCAGGGCAATTCAACAGCTTTTGCAGATCGAAATTGGCCCCATAGGTAATTGCAGATGCCTGCGCGTCAAATGCCGAGACCCTATCTCAACACCAATATCAAATATTTCGCCCAAGAAACACTGCAGGCTAGGTGATGGGTGTCTGGCTGCCAGTTGCCTGGCTACCAGTTTGGCTACCAGTTTCACTGGCTACCAGTTCAATTTCACTGGCTGCCAGTTTCGCTGGCTGCCAGTTGCCTGGCTACCAGTTTCACTGGCCACCAGTCACTGGCTGCCAGCTGCCTGGCTACCAGTTTCACTGGCTGCCAGTTTCGCTGGCTGCCAGTTGCCTGGCTACCAGTTTCACTGGCTACCAGTTACTGGCTGCCAGTTGCCTGGCTACCAGTTTCACTGGCTACCAGTTACTGGCTGCCAGTTGCCTGGCTAGCAGTTTCGCTGGCTGCCAGTTTCGCTGGCTGACAGTTTCCCGGACGCCAGGTGTGTGACCCCAACGGAAGCTTGTAAAGGCGCAACTTGACCCTTCAACATGTTGACCAATATTGCTGGGAACACCAAGATGCGTGCATTTGCTCATCGAAACGATAAATCCAGAAACCATCATGCGTCGTCAGGTCAAAGAATTGAACAAGATTATGGTCATCAGATAATTTCATGTCGAGACTTTTCTGAAGATGTGACATAAAAGGTAACTTCAGGTCGAGTCAAATCAGATCAAGACAAACCGAAAAGCTCATTTCAAGGCAAACAATATTACATCATATCAACATATATCAAACATATCACATCAGTTCGTTGTGTCCGACCATGGCGTGTCATGTCAGATCAAACTGTCCAGTTTTAGTTCTCCGTAAGAAATTGTCATATTATAGATTGGTAAGATTTCATTATGATCGGTAGTTTCAACATGTGCCTTGGTCTTCTTGTCCTTCTTTCCTCCAGTCGATTTCTTCTCTTTCTTTTGTCTTTTGGGAGCACGCTCCTCCTGCTCCTCTTTGCTGGGCTTCACGTCCAATACGAAAACCAACGGCTTGTCAGGTTGACAAACTTCAGAGCCCAGATCCACCTTGTGGTGGGAAAAGCCCACACGGACCTGCGGCCAAGAATGAGCAGTGAACAAACCATACACTGGAGTAGGGTGACTGACCTGTTTTTCAAATTGCTTTGTTTCTGATTCAAAAAACTATGTGGATCTTCGGGGATTGGAAGTCGGTGGATCCGATACCTATTTGTTAAACAGATTTAAAAAGTATGAAGCAATTTTCCCATAATTTCCCCTGTCGGCCTCACCGGCATCTTCCAAAAGCAGCAAGACATCTTTGAGCGGGGTGGCTTTTTCCACACAGTCCAACGTAGACAAATGGTCTGCCAACCTCTTTCTTTCCAAAATGATCGAGGTTTGGAGAGTCATGGCACACTTGATGAATTTTCCTTGCCCTTGTTCCATGAGATCTCGGGCATCACTTCCGTCATACCAACTTCCGGATCCAAAAGAAAAAAGTTCCCGGCAGTCCACCAAAACACATTGTTCAGAAACATCAGCTTTGATGTAAACTGTCCCATGATCGAGGTCCACAACCATGCTGGTCTGGGAATTGATCTGTAGGATCTCCCTTAGGCACATCTTAAGAAAATTGATCACGGAAATACTCACCATGTTGCCTATTTTCCCACGTTCCTTTTGAAAAAAAGGTTGCCTTTTTCTAGATCCTAAACATCTTTTCTCGTTGCTTCTGAGGCCCAGGCGGGTGGGTCAAGGCGGAAATAGTCTCAGCTTTGATCGGCTGCTCCGTTTCCATGACTTCGGTCTTGTTTTTTCTGTCCATCATCAGCTGAAGAAGCTGTTTTTTCCGGCTCCGACAAAGTCAAGTTGTCCTTGTTGAACCTGCTGTTGTGGTCGCTGACCAAATCTTCAAAGTCAGGGATCTCTGAGAATTGTTCGAAGAATTGGTTCTTTATCACCAGCGCACCACTGGGTACACAAGTCGTCACTTTGAATGTGTCGGAGGCGTCCATAACATCACTGTTTGATCCCAGAGTCTTGAGTTCAGCCAGCAAGGGCCTGAAGTCCGGAAATCCTTCAAGTTCACGACGCTGGCTACGACATGATTCATAGCAGCTGCCAATGATGCGCTCAATCATTTTTTGCCCTTTTTGTCCATCGTCACCAGGAACAATCGTCGCGCACAAAGTGGTTGGTTGCACCAGTCATCTTAGCAACAAACGATATTTGACACACAGGCCTTGCCAACCATGCTGGTTGTTTGTCCGTTTTTTGCGTGTAAAACTTCGTGTGATTTATTATATAATTCAAAAATGGAGCAGTCCCATGCAATCATTTTGATGCTATATCTTGCCGATATATTTCGCTAACAACCGAAAGCCAAGCAGCTTCCATGCATGCAAGCGTTGGCCACGAGTCGTAACCGTGTCCATCAACCCACACAACACGGCTGACCCCACTCGGGACAAGGTTGCTGTGAAGCTTGGCGATCAGATCACATCCTGCTGCAACCTGAGCACAGCTGGATCAAGTAAGCAAGCGGCAAACCATTCTATTGGAAACACCACATATGAACTTGTAGCAACTGATGAGCTTGGGATTTCATTAAGGCTAAGAAACTTGCTTGTACTCCTGGACATCTGTGAATGCTGCCTGCATAGACATCCCTTGGGTAGGTTTCCACATTTCAGCCCTCGGGCACATCCGCACTTCGGACACCATGCCCCGACGCCAAGCAGATGACTTCCAAAAGATATTTCCAGCCGCAGGCGATTTTGCCTGGCAAACAAACTGTTTAAAGCAAACGTATACACGCGATAGAAGTTGTCAAGTAGAAACGAAACATTGCAAAATATAGTAAGGCTGCACTCAGCCTTGCAAAAAAGGAATGGACGGAAAATTTGACATGTTTTGAAAATGGAGAAACAATTAGAAACAAACATTCTTGTCAAGCGACTGTAATCAAAAGCCCTTTCAAGAAAGCTTGTCTGCGGCCATACACTGATGCAGGGTCAAACGCGATAATGAAATCTTTGACCTTCAACTGGCGAGAAGACTGCCGAAGTTGCGAAGTGAACTTGTGTTGAAAATCTGGCAGCATATCCTGATCGGTGCAAGCTTCTGGTTCATCTTCATCATCCTCCTGTTTCACCTGAGTACTTTCCTCCTCGTCATCCCTTTCTTCTGCTTTCATGGTGTCATCATCATCGTCTCCTTTCCTTCAGGGGTTGGACCAACTTGTAGTGGGATGAAACCATCACTGTATAGCTTGAACAAAATCATACATCCTAGACTAAAAGATTGTGTAAACTATTGTCAGCAGTCAATTAGTTTCGAAGAATCCTTTCGTTCAAGGGATTGAAAACCAACAGCAACCTACTTGCAAGCAATATGAATTAAAACGCATAAGGTTTGGAACCCTGACCTTCTCTTGGGATTCTCAGCACGGTTGGCATGAATCACAACAGCAATGGAGTTGGAGGGGCGGGCGGCCAACAAGGCTGTGATCATCTGCAGAACGAATTGTAGCTTGACAGACCCCACGATACCCATGGTAGGCATGCAAAGATGCAGGATGACACACTCTTCGCTCGGCACCTTGTTGAACGTCAAACGTTCCATCTGCAATTCGACCCAGGGAAGCAAAGTAGGAACCACGCTTTGGTCCAATTTGACACTCCAGAGCTGAAAATTCTTTTCCACAAAGTCGTTCACCAGCTGCCATGATTTGTTGTGCCTTTGAAGCCCAGAAAAACGATGCTGTCAAGCAAATCTTCGTTTCACATCATGATGGTTTTGTCAAGTACCTGTAATAGCAATTCCTGCCAAGATGCATGGCTTCAATTTTCCGAACCAGCTCCGGCCTCTTGCGACTGATCTCCTTGCTAGACCTGTCCAACCCCACATGGGAAATAGATGTGAATCACAACAATCAGACACTTCAAACTCGTTTTTTTGCAGACAGCACCATATATGTAAAAAAAAGTCGGTTAGAGGCTTAGCAAATTTTTGAAACAGTGAAAATCAACTGGCCATCAGTTTCAATTCCTGTCGGCCAGCCTCATTTGCAAAGCGTCCCAAGTGGACTGATCTGTTTCCAGCTGAGAACGGAAATAGTTGAATGCTGCAGCCAAAGCTGCCTTTTGGGCATTCTTGGTTTTGGATTGGGCTTCGAGTACGTACTCTTCCTTGCTGCGGCCAAGGGCCTGGAGCAACCAAAAATAATTGTTGGCTGCAGGCAAAAAAAAAGCATGTGCAACATTTTGCGATACTACTTGTGCACAACTAGTACGGAAACTACACATACCGCACATACCAAGCAGGCCTCGAGGACAAACGGCAGACGTTCCCAGTTCATTCCAGGATCTGCTGCGGAGCAAGCTGCTTGTAGGTCTTGGTCAAGAAGCCTTGGCTTTTTTTTTGAACATGCAAAATTAGGAACATAAAACTGGGAACATTGGAAGTTACCCCGTATCGTCCACGCGTGTTTTCTTGGCACACCATGTTCAAGTAAAAAGACGTCCAAGCCCCTTCTGGTTTGGAACTATGTTATGAGTAAGTTGCCCCAAATCACACAAGACATGTTTCGATAAGCCATCGGGTCAAACGAAAATGCTCAAACTGAAATCAAAAACCTATATGCTTACTACAGTATTGCACAATATGTGGCAGTGGGTAAAAGAAGCAAAAAAACATTCATGGAAGAAACGGGTTTAATACAAGCTCAACATGTCAACGGAGGATGTAGATGATTTCCTACAAGGTCCTGCGTCCAAGGTTTTCCACACTTTTTTCCCGATGCGCTGTGAGCAATCGGCACGGTGAGACATTGGTAGTCAGTCATGCGACATCCTCTTCTGAGTTGGTCTCCTGCTCTTGCTTGACTGCCATGTGTTGTTCCTGTTGTTTGTTTGCCCTCTTGCGGGCCTTCCGCTTTGCCTCCCTCCTATTTCTCTTTCGTCTGATTTCCTGTAGTCTTGCCAACTTCTTTGCAACAGCATCCTCATCACCATCATTGCCATCCTGGCTCCCAGCACCGTGTTCTTTTTTCACATCCTTGTCCTTTGTCTCATCAAGCTCCGTCGGTATGGGAAACTCAGGCTGTCCAACTGGTATTGGTTTCAGAGTGCCCTCGAGTGGCAAAGGTCTGATTGTCGGTGACGGAGCAGGCAACCTGGGGACCAAATTCAACTTCGTTTTCTCCAACTCACCCTTGGGTTTCTTGGAACCCAAGGCTTCAACAACTGGCTTCTTGCATGTCTGGGTGTTGTCCTCCTCTTTGTGGGATTTCCTGGAACCCGAAGCTTCCACAACTGTATCCTTGCATGCCCGGGTCACGTCCTCCTTTTTGAAGGATTTCCAGGAACTCGGGCCTTTCACACCTGGCTTCTCGCATGTCTGAGTTTTTTCCTCCTCTTTGTGGGCTGCATGGACGTCCTTGGGTGTAGGAACTGTATGTAGTAGCCCTTTGTCATGACAAACTTTTCCTGTTGGTAATATTTCCGTATCTTGTTCAACACATTTTGTTGGCACATCAGTTATGGATGCCAACTCATCATTTTCCCCAATAATTGTCGGGGAGGTTTCTAGTGCAGTCATCGCATCGTCGATGTTGACCCTGTCCTTGACACAATGTGTATATGTTCAGCTGGTGAGGTCGGCGAGGGCGTCTCAAACGTCATGGGCTTGTCATCCGTCATGGGCTTGTCATGAGGAGAGAACATGTCTTTTTAAAATGTAAGCAATCAAAAACAAATAGTTTCAGTTTCTAATGTTTCTGAAATAATGCAAATTGTGTTTGGAAGTCACCATCATCAACTGACACATTGCATTCAACATAGAAGGCTTGAGCCTGTTTAACAGCCGAAACCATCGACCTGGAAGCCCATGCAGACAAATCAAGCAAATATATTCAACATTTTTGACATCAAAATTGTTTGGAGGTGCTTTGGTTTTTATCTCTTTGTAAAGTATCAATGTTGTCTTGATCTTTCATGCACATTCAAACTTCATAATCCCCATAATGCAGTGAACATGTCCCAGGCCACAAACGAAATCAAAGTGAATGGCATTAACATGCCTCAAAGAAGTTCTGATGTTTTATTAGTAATGATTCCAAATCATACATAGAAGGGGTCATGAAACAGTAACATATAGGCGGGGAAACAATCTAAATATGTACCATTGAAATCACACAGAAAGTAAAAATTCTGATAGCCGTTGAAAACCATGAAAAACCAATCAAAGTTGAGCTACCCCGGCTGTGTTCTTGGGCGCGACGGCCTTTTCAAAAAGTCAATCACAAATTCCTGGTTTGGGGAGCTACCAATCACGAATTATATTCATATCAAAATATGGAACCCACGATGGGTTTCCCCCTGGACCCTCAAATTGTGACGGGATTTTTGAAAAGGCAATCACAATTCACCATGCGGGGTGGTACCTCACAGTTTGACGGCTTTTTTTGGATCAGGCTGACGAGTTTGACGGCTTTTTTTTTCAAAGCTCAAGTGTTTGACGGCTTTTTTTTTCCAGCTGATTAGTTTGACGGCTTTTTTTTGCCAAGCCACAGAGTTTGACGGTTTTTTTGGCGGAACCCCCAAAGGTTTGACGGGTTTTTTGGCGGAACCCCCAAAAGTTTGACGGGTTTTTTGGCGGCAGGCTTAAAAGTTTGACGGGTTGTCTGGTGGAACTTCCAACAGTTTGATGGGTTCTCTTGGAGTTCTTGTTGGTGGACCTTCCCAAAAAATGACCGGCGTTTTAATTCCTAAAAGCTTTCAGGATTTCATCTAAACCAACCTACACTGACCCAAACCAAGCCTCCCCGTACGTAAGCAAAGTTGAGCAACCCGCTGATCCACATCTCCTCCAATTTGGCCATCATGGACGCATCCAAAGCCCTCTTCAAGTTGGGCTTCAGCCAGCACCAAAGGCAAGTCACATCCATCAGCACTTGATGGTTCTCCACCGGCAGCTGCTTCGACTTCTGAGCGTGGGGGTGCAGTGCAGATGTTCGCAGTTTAGTGTGCAAACACAGAACACAAGAAGTTGTCAATTTACTCTTTGATATTTTCTTTGTCAATGCTTTCAGCAATACTTCACCCAATTTTTTGACCCAATCAATCAACCCTCACAACCGAGCCTTGTATTTTTGGGCGGAAGTCTTCGAAACTGCTTTGTTGAAGTCAGTGTCCACTCGGCGCGCATATACACATGCTGTCTCATCGGTGCACTCCATGATTGTTCCCCACAATGACTTGCCATTGTAGGGGACGGCCTCAAACCTCTCGTTGCCAGGGACGAAATGCCCTTGTTCCACCACTTCGTAATAGAAGCCTGCACGGGAACCAAAAAACATAAAAAACAATCTCATACACGTTTCAACAACAGCGCGCTGGGTGGGGGGGGCGGCAGGTTGTATGTGTCTGGCTCCCAGTTGGCTGGCTGCTAGGTGCCTGACTGCCAGATGTCTGGTTTACCAGGACCTGGCTGCCAGTTGCCTGGCTGCCAATTGCCTGGCTGCCAGTTGCCTGGCTGCCAGTTGCCTGGTTTACCAATTGCTGGCGTCAGTTGCCTGCTTGCCAGGTGGCTGGCTGCCAGGTGGGTCTGGGTAGGTGGCTGACCACCAGTTGACGCCAGTTGACTGACTACCAGTGGACTGGCTACCAGGAACTGGCTGCCAGTTGCCTGGCTGCCAGTTGCCTGGTTACCAGTTGCCTGGTTGTCAGTTGCCTGGTTGTCAGGGGGCTGGCTGTCAGGTGGGGGAAATGCACATGGTCGTTGAAACAACATATCAAAAATGCTAGCCCTCCAAACTTGAAGGCTCGTATCACATGCGCTTTTTTTTCGTCCACGCGTCCTTCGTCAACCCCTACGATGGAAACGGACATGAAGATTGTGCGGCTGCGGCCTTTGCCGTCAACCCCTACGATGGAAACGGACATGAAGATTGTGCGGCTGCGGCCTTTGCGGCCGCGGTGGCAGGCGGGCAACCATCAAAGATCCCTGCGTAATGCCACCGTTCTCCAAAAACTCAAGTGGCTGGGAATCATGCCTTGCATATGGCGCCACGCCTGCTAAACTGTGCATATAATTTATGGCCCTGCTGTACTGAGGGTACACCTTCAGAGCGCCAGCTAGCTCTTTGAGCGCTTCAGCCCTTTCCGGTTCCAAATTTGTTTTTTCACCCTTGTGTTTCACAGCATTTTTCCAAAAGTTCCGTACTGCCACAGCCTCGTCCCCAGGGAAAACTAAAAGAGGATCTTGGCAAAGTTCGTCATCGGCAAGTTGATGTTTTATCAGACAGAAAACGTCGCAATGGTTGTGCGCGTATCTTCGTGGGAGGCGTTCACTTCTAGCAAGGTGTCCAGGCAAACCTGTTGAGCATAGTCAGGGAAACACACATACCTAACAGGCAAATAATAGATTAGATCAGCTTATGATCCTGTGATTTTTGATGGGTTGGGGCAAAATGATGTGCTTTAAATTTCATGCAGTCAGAACACAATCCCTCCGGCGAAAGAGGAATGAATGTGGTATCCTCTCCTCTTCACCTTTGCGAGGACGATACGCGTTGTCATAAGAGACGATGTGGGGAACCAACTTTTTCCAGGGTCTGACCTCAACTTTTTTAACATTCGATTGATCTTTTTGCAGTTTAGAGTTGCAAGTCATTGCAAGTCTTTGATTTAACTGCTTGAAAACGATCCATGTTCAGAGTGGCCCATTGTTTGCACTTGCAAGGCAAGACACAGCATCGATCAAAATGACATGAAAATACTCGCCGCGTTCATGAAATACAGGAGATAATTTTGTTTCCAATAACCTGTGCAAATTTATGCAGAAATTCATGCTTCTTTCTCTGCACGGTTTGTACTTGATATTGCTTGAGACATGTTGAACAAACAAGCCTTTTAAAGTCAGAAGGGGTCTGCAAGCCATCGCCAATCGCTTCTAGGAGGTGGGTCACCAATCCATAAAGGGCATCTTAGTACAAATCATGGAGAAAGACAAAGCAACAATAATCACAAACCTGCTTGCTACACGAGTCCAACACACTCAATGATTAAGTCTCTTACCTATGTCCTCGTGCGTATGTCCCATCGGCAAATGATGATGTCCTCCTTCGTTGATAAAACCTCCAACTATCATCATTGATAGGAGCTGGCCCGAGAGCTGATTCTTCAGCTCTCGTACTGTATTATCGCCCTGTACCCAGAGCCTGAGCACACCAAATTTCTAATCAAATGTGATGTAGATCAACAAGCCTAGGATGATGTTCATTTTCATCAATTCAAAACAGTGAATCAAGACTTGGCCAAGAAGCGATCTGGGGTACGCCCGCCCTTCCTTGACAGATTGCTTCCAACACAGGCTCATCGTATGAAACAAGGTCTCCCATGTGTAGCTCCCACCGCAAGACACGTGCTCTGGCGCAAGGTAAATCGCACAGCCCCACCCATGAGCAATCACAGCACTGAGCTGCATCCCAGTCCGCGGACATTTGTCAAATGCCCCCCCTTTAGGGGGACGGCCGTGAGGCCACCTCGGTAAGCATGGCTTGGACTTGTCGTAGCCGTCTGTGATCAATGTCAGTTGATCAGCTTTGGCACGGCTGTTTGACCTTGCCTCCCAATATTTTTCACGACACTTCCAAGTTTGAGCGAGGTGACCCAACAACCGGTCGGCAAATTTTGCGTGCTCCATGAAGCTTGTGGCGTGGCGCATCTCACTTTTCAGTCGGTCACACACCAAACAAGTAGAGTGCTGCGACTTTTTTCTGAACTTCATACATTTGCGCCATTGCAAAGTACAGTCATAGAAAGTTGATCGGCCAGCTATCTCTTGGTTTGTTGCTAGGCAGTGGGACTGGTACAAGACGTAAAGGCTAGACCAATTTCCAGGCGGCAATTCACGGTAGGCCATTTTTGCAGGGTCAGCCCGCAAAAGCCGACTTGTCGGCCCCTCCAAACTCTCCTGAACAAGAGATTGTAGCAGTTTTGATCTGGCCTCCTCATTGTCCAATCCTTGCGCATTTTTCAAAATCCTTATTTTTGCAAACAGAAGTCAAAACAATGTTTTCACAGCTATGTACATATGGAAAAAAATTGCAAGTGCGCACAATATACACTTGCCGAGGATCCCTGTTGGCATAGTTTCAGAGATCGAAAAATACATTTTTTGCAAAAATGCATTCACTGAAGCTGTTGCTGTAGCTTCTCGTCCATGGGTTCCTACGACACCATCCAATTAAATTGCATATCTTTGTGAGTCAACTGTGTAGCAATCAGTAAACTGACAAAACCAAAGAAGATTGTCAGGCCTTTGCCACGGAGCCATCGCTCATCTTTGCCCTGAAACCTGGACTTAGTTCTTTGTAGCCTTGATTGCCCAATCCCAAGCATCCTCACAAAAGCTCTTCTACATACTTGAATATCTGCCACGAACCACGATGTTCGAGATTGGCGGTCCGGGGAAGAATCTCCATCTGTTGAGTCGGAATCAGAGTTCGTCCCAACACGACAAGCCCTTTCCCTCGCTTGCGCACTCCAGAGCAGCGTGTCTTGCGCTGGCTTTGAAAGGGACCAGAAAAAGATGCAAACCTGAACCAAGAGGTCAAAGGTGATCTTTTTCCAACACCTTGGTCGGGGACTATCATGGGCTGCAGCATATGCACCAAATAACAGGTGTACAACTCGAACATTTTTGTTTTTGAATTCAATGTCACACAACTAGGAATGGAACCGGTTTGAGCAGGAACAACAGCTATGGTTCTTGTTGGCCAGGACCTTTCTAATACGACTTTCATCAAACCCAATTTTCCGCAAAATGCCCTTGATCATCTTTATCCCCACAAGAAGTCGCAGCACGAAGAGAGGCCAAGTGAGGCAATGATAGATTTGCTCGCTTTCTAAGCCTCAAGATCAAGGCCCAAGAGCAAAGTAGCATGTGGTTTCAAAAATCCCACGCAACAATCAGAAAATCCAATCAGAAACATCAAAATCTTGAACCCAAAACAAAGAATCAGGGCATGAAACTCCTGATCCGACGCCTCACCCGACTCACTTGATGTCTCTGGCACATCATCTTCTGCTGACCCCTCTGAGTTGGAGCAACTGCTGGGCTCAAATCGCCGCAAGGCAGCTTTCGGAGGAGTTCTGCTCCGAGATAGACATCGCCACCGGCCCATCCCACAGTGTGACACTGAAACAACTAACGATGTCAAGTCATTATATGTCAAGTCAGAATGTGGCTTGCTTTCACAAATTCTATGTTTGCTATTTTTTCTTGCGCGTGAATTGAAAGTTTCATGGCAAGCTTCTATGAGTTACCATTGACATATTTGCCATCAAGAGATATGATTGGATTTCCGTGTCATCAATGATATCCTATTTCCCTTGACTGAGCAGCACAGCAACAACAAACTTGTAGCAGCAAAGGGTAATGGCAATGAATGTTTGGAAGAAACCCTCACCAAAACATAAAATTCGGCAAGGGTAGGTTGCGCACCTGAGCTGGCATGTCTGTGCTGGTCGTAATGCTTCACCAGGATGTCGAGGAAATGATAGGGGCACTTCAACAGGTTTTGAATAATTTTTCGTTTCTTCGAATCAATTTTCCATCGCTTTACTACAACCTTCTCATCGTAGTCTGAAATGCACTTTGCCAACATTTGGTTCTGGGTCATGCTTTTGCCTGATTTCCTCAAAGCCTCCACAGCCATTCCAAATTGGGCAGCATACTCTAGTGCGCTTGGAGGCTGTTTCTCAGCCGTTTCAACTCCAAGACCTTGAGAGTTGCCAGCATGACATGGAAAGCCGTTGATATAGATATATAAGTTTATGCTAAGTTCATATGAGAAGCGAACTTGGTTCCGGACGTAGTGCCTCATAAATGAAAGCTGTTTCGGAATTCTGGTGGGTATACTGGGCTTTCAGGTACTTCAAGGAGACCAGTAGCGGCTTCAAATCGTCCGACTCAAATTCTTCCTCTTCCAGTCCCTTAGATTCATAGAAACCAAAAAGTAATGATGTAGCAAGTTCAACCTTTTTCCCATGTTTTTTGCACAAGTCAGGTAATGGGATGGGAAGGAATAAGGAAGCAACAATGCATAGCTGAGAAACCATCGAGTCCACAAGGGCAACAATGGCTTGACAAATCAAACCTTTGGTGAACCCGTCCAAGTACTGAATGGAAAATGGCTGGACCAACCTGTCAGACCCACAACCGGTGAACTTCACCTTGAGCGGCTCGCGGTAGGGATCGAAGTTGGAGTAAAGCACATTTTTGAAATGCTGCGCCAAGGTGCTCATCGAAGGAAAAACTCAGCTCTAGAAGCAAATTGCCAATCTAAACCCAAAGCACGCATAAACACAAGGCGCATAAACCAGTGAAAAAAATGATGTGCTCTTTTTCGATTCTTTGTTTAATTAGAGAACCAAGGAGCTCCCATGCTTCGCGTTGCAAGAGTAGTCCAGTTGATCCAGAGATACCCACAACTCATTCAAGCTCTGTGTTGGGACAAGAGAAACGCACCGATGTTCCACTGGGGCATCTCTAGACAACACCACCCGGTCAATTGCAATGGTCATCTTTTCATGGTTGCCATATTCATCGTTCAGCCACTTGCCGATGTTGTCATTGGCTGTGACCTTGAGATTTTAAGCATGGTCATGAAACAAGTACAACTTTCAAAAACAATGTTCCCAACATTAGCCAATTCATACCTTGGAAACATCGTTCAAGCTGAGGCTGGCACCCTCAGGAACGATTCCCAGATCAAGTCCCGGGTCGTCTTGTTCTCCCTGTCAACCTTTCCCTCCTGGTCAGAAAGCGTGTCCTGCTCCCTTTTCTCCATGATGCCGTGCCAACTTTGCTGGTCAGCTGCAGCACCGCGGAATCTTGACTGACTGGTGACGTGTCAGGAAAATTTGAGCCATGCGTGCAGGGAAACAAGATTGTATTGATCTCTATTTGATGTTCATCAAACGAATGAATAGGGCATTCGCTGAGAGGTTCAAAAACGGAATGCATGGTAGTGCTATGCTGAAAAAAACATTATGAAACAGGCCAGGAAGGCAAGTAGTGAAAAGCCACAGGCTTCAGCTCAATCTAGGTGGATCAACCTAGTCATTTGAACAGGTTCATGTCTTGTACGCAAAGTATGGTTTCAGGATTTGAAGAGTAATGCAAGGCTCAAACCTGGACTTGCGCTGTTTCTTTTTCTCGGGGCATCCAGTAGTATCTGTGAACTTGTTGAAGTTGATGGCCTAGCAACATTGTAAATCAAATGGTGGCACCTTCACCTCCTTTCAAACATGCTGTCATGTAAAACATTGCTTTTTTATCTTTTTTGCAGCCTCGAAAATGGCGCAAAATCCCGCTGCGAGCGCGCGAACATGCATGGAATTGCCAGCTAAGGACCCAATGGCCTGACGCACAGAAAACAATCAAGATATAACATGAGAAAAGAACAGCAAATACACACGCACGCAGGCACACACACACACACACACGCACGCACGCACGCACGCACGCACGCACGCACACACACACACAGCCACACCTCACACCTTGTCACTGAGCCCCTCAAGGCAAAGTCTGTGGGCCGGGAAGCCCTGCAAGATGAACTTTTCAAATCCTGTCAGAAGACAGGTGCACAAAGAATTTGAAACTTGCGACTGACGGTTGGATACCAAACTCTATCATATCCCAGCCTGATACATGACGCGCTTGGTCTCTGAGCCAATACTGAGCCATCGGCCTAGGGAAAAACATGCTTACTTATTATATGCTTACTAAGATGGGTAGCTGAGAGCGCTACGTAATGCAAACCATGCTCCGGCCAAGAGTGACCACTGGCATCCGATTGGTGTTTTGAGACAGATCTAGCAGTTGCCAGTCTGGTTTGTGGACAGACTGGATGGCCATGGCCTCGCAAAAAAAACACCAGACAACTAATTTAATCCAGCCAAAACAAACCGGCACTCTGAAACTGAAGCCTGCAGAGAGCGCTCAGGGATAGTGAAATTCTTTTTGCATAGCTTTTCCAGGGCTGATTTGACATCCTTTTTTGCGACCTGCCACATGCAAGAAACAAGTTCGCTGTTTTTTTGGTACTTACCTTTGATACCCATTGCGTGCCTGCCTGATGTTCCGAGATGAATTTCTCATTGATATGTTGCCACTTCGGGTCATGTTTCTGGGGCCTACCAGATTCAATCAACACTCACCTTCTGCAAGATTTTAAAACAGTTCCTTCACTAGCCGCCTTCTGCAAATATCAAACTTCTTGGAACCCCCCTTTTTCACAGCCTGCGCCAAAAAATGGACATCAACACAAGAAAGAGCCAAGGGATTGTATGTAACCGGGACTGTAACCAAGGCCTTCTCGAGGTTTTGCAAGTAGGGCGTGTCACGTTCCAACAAGAAGGTCTGCCTGTGAAATTAATCCGTATGATCATGCTTCGAAAAGGGCTGTTTTTCTTCCATTTTTTGAAGAATAAGCTTCTGACCATGGTATGTTGCTTCTGTTGCCGAAATGTTTTCTCATGGTCTCCAGTGAAGCTTCAATAAGCGTTTCCAGAGGTCCCTTGAGACACCGCTTCTGAATTAAGAAAAAGTATATCCGCCGTCGGCTCAAGTCCACGCCAAAGTCTTTCCTGATGTGAGAATGAAAAAGAAACACATGGTTTTGTTTTGGCTGGCTATTCAACTATAGTTCAGCTTAGTCTCGGATCCAAGACTGTATAAAACAGCTCGTAGTCAGGTAGCAACTCTTGAAGATGTTTGCAAATGCCATCAATCACCAAGAGGATGCCCATCACATTCTCCAATAAAATTGCCTAAATCCCCATCTTAGATTCAAGGTTGTGCTCAAGCAATGACAAAAATTGATGGTAAATGTAAATGCTAGCGAAGTGCCCGCGGCTTCACCGCCTTTGCAGTCTCTGCGCATTTGTAAAATTGGCGAGCTTGCGGGTCTTGTAGCCAATCGCTTTCAGCTCTCAAGGCACTGAAAGCCTTACATGGAAATCCTGCCACGTAGATGTCGACCTGCGCATTTTTGTGGTCCAATATGAAAAACTGTTCAGCCACATCAGCAAAAAAAAAGTCAAGAGACAGGGGCCTCATTTTCCAGACCTGAAATATCCCGATGAAATAAATCATCATGTAGCCTCAGCATTGTTGAGGTCATTATCATTATTTACAAAACACGCATGAAATTTGGTAACTACAAAATCTTGAGCTTTGACTCTGAGAGGGGTAAGGCCAAAGCGTGGCTTCTGGGCAATTCTTGCTAATAAACGTTCGGGGCCCGCTGGCATTATCACAGGAAGACCTAGGTTTGAGAGAGTGTAGGACGGATTTTGATTTTACTTCTTTAGGAATCATATAAGCGCAGGCAATGAGAAAGAAAATCTGCAAAGACAAAAGTCGCCAAGTAGTTGCAGCTAGAGCGCACGTGCTCTAAACAGTCAGCTTTGCCGACCGCTGCCATGAGCATCCTCAATGCCCAAATGGGCCCCTCTGCACCACTGCCTTGAAACTGAAATGAAAATGAGGGCTATCAAGCAGGAAACTGGTAAAAACAACTTAGATCCGGACAATCGGTCATGATAATTTGAAAGGCTTCTTGATGCCTTTCAGAATTTCTTTTAGACCTTAACCAAGGCACATGAACCCAACACCACACCATACAAATTCCCTGTTTTACACTTGCCCTAAGAGTTCCACCACATGCTGCAGCGAACTCTTCCCCAATCTCTAAAGCTTTGATTTGTTTTCTTCCAAGCTTCGGCCACCTTGGCAACAGTGCTGCCAAAAACCAACCAAAGCACCCCAACCACCCCACAACCACCTTCTCTGGGAAGTTTGCACTGGTAGCCAGAAACATGATGACCTGGCAGCCAGCTTGTGCTGGTAGCCAGAAACATCGTGACCTGGCAGCCAGCTTGCACTGGTAGCCAGAAACATGATGATCTGGCAGTCAGCTTGCACTGGTAGCCAGAAACATCGTGACCTGGCAGCCAGCTTGCACTGGTAGCCAGAAACATGATGATCTGGCAGCCAGCTTGCACTGGTAGCCAGAAACATCGTGACCTGGCAGCCAGCTTGCACTGGTAGCCACAAACATGATGATCTGGCAGCCAGCTTGCGCTGGTCGCCAGGAACATCGTGACCTGGCAGCCAGCTTGCACTGGTAGCCAGAAACATGATGATCTGGCAGTCAGCTTGCGCTGGTCGCCAGGAACATGGTGATCTGGCAGCCAGCTTGCATTAGTAGCCATCCGAAAACCGTCCCAACTCCATCCAAAGGAAATCCAAAATCCAAAATGCAATTCAGCTGCTTTTCCCCATCTAAGAGCGCTGGAATGTCCTGCCAGCACTACTGCGTGCAAACCCCCATACCCCCCCAACACTTGATGACTCCTCATCAACCAGCAGATCTCCGTCCGCATCATAACGCCATCGTGGCATGATGACCTAATCATGGCCACATGGGCCACATGCGGCGCTAGAATCGCTAGGATTGGGAAAAGTCTAAAGCAGTGAACGCTCAACTGAAAGAATTGGGCCCCCCACTTGCCAAATTGAAACCAGCTGGGGTTTCCGGAGCCAAAATGGCTTGATCTATGCAACAACCACATGACACCAAAACCATTCAACACACCTTGTGGGAACTTACAGTAATATAGCCACCAACAACCACAAAACATGCTTTAAGTATCAAAGTTGATTAGGGGCGCAAACATGACTAAATCTGGAGGCATTGACAGACTCCCAGTTACTATTTGGAAGACTCCCAGTTCTCCATGGATCGGCTTATATATAATTATACTGTATATATATATATGAACATATATGATTATGCTGTTAAATGAGATTGGTGCCATTACAGTTATGTTACTTGGTGCCATTATACAGTTCAAAAATTATGTAAATATGTTCTATGATGGCTGGAATATAGTGGAATGGTAGGTGTCATAACTCATAAGTGTACGGTTTGGTGGTGGTGATTGGATTGTTAAGTGGCTGCCAACCATTGAGCGCAAAGTGTGACACTGGGCAAAAGAATCTGGTTGCTTGGGGTTATCACAAAATCAGTGGTGAGAAAGCCTAATATAGCAACACATGCCAAATCTGTTGTATTCTACATCGTTTTACAACATTGCATTACAACTTGTTTTGTCATTTCACATCATAGCAAGCCGACAAACCGTTTTACATCATTTGTCATTCTATCGACTCAAGAATGGACCTCCATGACTTTGAACAGTTTGGATGTCCAGTCTTGCCAGAAATGAGTTGTTACCATATTCATCCAGAACCCCCATTGAACTATTGAACTTTGAATTGACCATTCACCAAGGTTTACCCAGGCCAATACTGGCTACAATCCTTTTCAATCAAAATCTTATCCCAAGGGAATAATGGGCCAATTCCTCAGTATCCCCAGTTACGGGTGCTTCTCAATTCAGTTGGCTTATCCAGAATATTCCAGAATCACAACTTCCAGTAGAGCAACGGAGATATTGGACCTCGGCAAAGCTGGGGTCCATTGTGCCATTCACCTTAGTCGTGGTGAAAGAATTCGTGAGGGACCAAGGGACCTACAAGTTTTAGTCCGAAATTGCCGGTGATGATGTTGAACAGGATGACACAAAAACAAAAATAAAAACAAGACCAACGCTACCAAACACGAAAGATTATGAAGGTTATATACCTTTGGATTCCAAACATTTTGACATTTTCATGAAGCATTTGTAGAGCTTGTGGTTGAGCTGGTTGAGCCCTCGTTCAAAAAATGTGCTCACTATTGGAGATCAGCATCCCAAATTGTCTATTGTAAATTAA